AGTCATGTTGGCACATCTGGGAAAACCCAAATCTGAAAGCTTCCCGGTTTTCCCCACTGCATTGGAAGTTCAAGATCTTGCCCCCACACCCACAAGTCCATCACATGGTCCAATTTCCCACTGCCCTGCTGGCAGCTTCCACCCACCCAGTTCCGGTCAGGTGCAGAGGTCCAGAGAGGAAGGATGACCTTGGCTTTCTACAATCCCTCTTAGTGCTGGTTGTCCTTTTCCACATTTTTAGAGTCAGGTTCTCGTCCAGAGGGCTGGGTCTTCACATAAACCTGGGCCCTATTTAACAAAATGAAATTCAATGGGGAGAAACGTGAGGTTTTCCATTTAGGCAAGAAAAACCAAATGCACAAGTGCAGAATAGTTGGTACCTGGCTCAATAGTAGTAACTGCAAGAGAGCTCTTGCAGTCCTAGTGGACAAATACTTAGATCAGGGGTGTCAAACTCAATTTCATTAAGGGCTGCATCAGGGTTGTGTTTGACCTTGGGCGATGGATGGGCGTCGCCAGGGTGGGCATGGCCAGCTTGACGTTGCTCATGTCGGGGGCGCTTGTGATGGCCTGAGTGCTCTACCAGTGAAAACAGAGTTTGGGAGGCTGCGACGGCCTCCTGCAACCCTCTGCCAGTGAAAATGGTGCTCTGGAGGACCGCACACTCCATTTTCACTGGCAGAGGGTTGTAGAAGGCCATCACAGCCTCCCGAGCTCCGTTGTCACTGGCAGATTGCTTGAGCCAGTCCTTGGCTGTTTCCAGGGTGGCCCTGTGGGCCACATTTAAGCACCCCGCAGACCAGATCTTCTCCCTGGGCCTTGAGTTTGACACTCCTGACTTAAATAGAACTGAGGTGGCGCAGCGGTTAGAATGCATTACCGCAGGCTGCTCCTGCAGACTGCTGCCTGCCTGCAAATTTGGCAGATTGAATCTCGCTAGGCTCAAGCTTGACTCAGCCATCCATCCGTCCGAGGTCAGTAGAGGACCCAGATTGTTGAGGGGGCAATAGGCTAACTCTGTAAACTGCTTAGAGAAAAGCACTGTGAAGTGGTATACGAGTCTAAATGCTAGTGGTGTGAGCCAGCGGTGTGCAGCAGCTGCCAAAAAAGCCAACAGAGTCCTAGTCTGAATTAAGAGAAGGATAGAATCAAGATCACATGAAGTGTTAATACTTTGGTAAGACCACACTTGGAATATTGCATCCAGTTTCGGTTACTATGATGTAAAAAAGCTGTGTCAAACCCATTGGGCCATATTGTGAGGAATTGGGATTGTTTTTGTCCTTATCCAGCCAAGATGAGTGTAGCCTTCCTGGGCCAGATACAGCCCACAGGCAGCATGTTTCACACCCCTGCTTTAAAAAGTGTAGTGAAAAGCAAAATAATTAATTAATTAGGGGACTGGAGGCTAAAATATATAAAGAATGGTTGCTGGAATTGGTACCGTCTAATGTAATGAAAAGAAGGACTAGGGGTGATACGATAGCTGTTGTGACTCAGCAGAAGTTTGCTGTGAGTTGAGTCGGGATGCAAGATTAACAATGCAGCTGGGGCTCGTTAGTGTTGTCTTCTGGTGATAAAAGGACGGACGGTGCCACGCCCTGGTTGCAGGAGTCAACGTTCATCATTCATCGGT